ATAAAATTGCTTAACTAGATGGTTGCCTGGTAACAAATGCTTTTTGTGCACTGTGTTTGAGTTATAGGTAACATCCTATGTATAACCCCCAAACCAGCATTAGTAATTGCATTTTTACTGTGTACTTTTGATTTTGAAATTTTCCTGTTTTTTCCATTTTTATTCCAAAAACTAGTAAAGCACCACCTATGAGGACTGATTGACAACTTCTTAATTCTTTTATTAGCCACTAAACAAGGTATCAATAAATAAGCAAACATTGCTGAAACATTCTAATAAACTTCCTTATTAGTAATTTTGCAACACCTTTAATATTTTTTTAATGCTCTAAGAATTCATCACTTTTTTTTTCCTTTCTTTTTCTTCCTTTTTTTTTTTTTTTTTTTTTGTACAATGGGAAAAACAAAGATCCTGCGGGAGGCTGAGACTTAGAGCCATTCTGTGTGTAGGGTGGTGTCTAACTAATAACTAATGTGAATCCCCATATGCTGCACTTCATTCTTACCACTTTTGAGCAGGGAACTCGGAAACCTACGTTTTTGTCTAATAATTAATCTTCTCGCACATCTAGACAAAAGCAAAGAAATGCTTGTGTCTAATTTTCCACTTATCTTCAGTGTACATCTGAAGGGCATACAGACTGTAGAGGGTGTGTTGAAGTTACCCTGGGTCATCTGAATATTAGATTAATTTCTAACCAGGGGACAATTCTTCAAAGATGAAAATATGTAAACTTCTCTACTTCACTTAATTCTGTGCTTGAGTTGAACAATCAGGGATATGCTTTCCAGCTTGATTGTAATTCATTCAGTGAATGTGATATTTTAATACATGGAAATGGGAAGACTGCCAAGATCAGAAAGTTCAGGAAGAACTTTAGAAGTCAGATAAAAGAGTATCTCTGTGCATGCTCTGTATGCTCTCAAGTGGTGGCTGTAATGTAATGAGATGATATGCAAATCTTAAAACCTATTAGGAAGAAAATGATCCTGCTGTGATCAATTTGCAATCCAGAGAGGCACTTCCCATAACTGACCCTTTTTAATTCACAGTGTAAACACAGATGATGCTTGAGTATGGAACTAGGTGCTGAGTAGCTATCCTCTGTTTATTTTTCCTGTATACATGGAATCTCACAGTGTGATAATCAGATTCTGCAAACGTGTATGGAGAACATGCTGTCAATTCTCCACGTGCCATATTGAATGCTTCTGAATTAGATATGTCAATTAAATGCAGTTATGGCAATTTTCTTTCTTATTTCCTGTATAACATCAAATTAATAAGATATAGTAAAGCTTTCAAAGAACATGATGTACAAATACTGGGACAGTTGTTTTCTAAAGAGAACCTTGTAAGTTCCAAATGGTGCTTATATTTTAATTGAGCTAATTAGACACATAAGAATACTAAAATGTTTAAGATTGTGTGCCATAAGTGAAGAAAATTTACTCAGCTGCATACCACCAGCCATTGAGAAGGAACGTCAACAGAAAACTTTGTCACCCAGAAAGTCTTTTCAGCAGTTGTCACTGCAAATTCAGGAAAAGACCTTGTGGTCATAGTGTCATGTCTGTGAAGGCTTAATCTCTAATTGGGACTTCTAAATAATAAGTGATCCAACACATGAAAAATATTAGGTTTTCAATGGAATTTAGAAAGGGCATCTGCAAACTTTCAAGGCTTCCTTTTCTTTAGAAGAATCTGAGAGCAAAAGACACTAATGCTTGCTCTTCAAGGGATGCTCAGAAAAGCAGTTGAAAAATGGATGCAGAGAACTCTGTTCTAAAGATGTGTTAAATTCTGAAAGACATTATGAAAAATAAAAAGCCTCTATAATGGTTGGACAGGCAAGTAATAGATAAATAATTAAATCACAATTAATGCAAAAATAAGTAGTGTGTTACATCTGTATATTGAGGCAATTTCCTTTTTCTAACTTTTACATTTAGTGCAGTTTTAGTCACTGCTGTTTGTATATTGTCAGGTATAATTAAAAGAATAAACAAAACTCATTCTGTATATGTAGGTGATGATGTGCAGAGCCATAGGATTTTAATTGCAGTCTGAATTTGATGTGAGCATAAATAATTGGGACACTTGTTATGGTACATTTTGTCTTTTAGGGCAAATGGCCTTTTTTTTTGGTTCTTGATTATTTTAAATACAAATTGACAATTAATATTTTGTGTTGCTAAGTGGACATAAAAGTAAAAAGATGTTTGAAAATATTTCTTTGTTTGGATGGCCATGAAAAAAGTTAAAGAATGTGATGGAATGTTTTAGAGTCTTAATAGTCTTCACTTAATTATGAAAAGTAACAAAATGTTGGTATAAAGCAAAAGACAGTATTGCCTGATTTCTTATAGCACTCTGACTTGATTTTTGTGGCTTGATATAAACAGAAAGTTTATTGCCTAAATAATTTGTAAATTTTAGATTTATAAATTGAAAAAAAAAATTAAGTAGGCACTCTACATATGCAGAAATACATGTGAAGTATAATATAACACCTATTTTGTTTAAAAATTTCCTATGCATATTAGTAATTTTAATTACTTGCTTGTATTACCTTACTGCTGTAGTTTTCATGTGGAGTTGTAATTCAGGGTTTTCAAACAGCTCCTTAACTCCAGGCTAACTGCTAGATCAGTGAAGTTAAATGGCTTCTTTTTTTGCAAAAGTTTTGAAAGTGTCAAGTCTCAATAAACTGTAACTGTCCTCTAGGCATAGTTTATGTTTTGAAAGAAAACTCTGAACAAACAGCTTACAGTTAATTGCTGTAAAAAGTCATACTTCCATGGTTATTCAGCAGAGTTCTTGTTAATTGTTTATATACTTGAAATGCTTTTCTACCTTCAGATGGAACAGAGCAGATTTTCAACCTAGTGATTTCAGGCTCTGAGGAGATTTGAAATAAATTATTATTGAGCTTAGCAAAATCACATAATGTTTTCCAGATTGGAGCTCAGTTACACATTCAGATTGTTGTACTTATTGTCAGGTGATTGTGAGCAGAGGACAGGATGAATATATCAGTAAGTGGTTACTGTTCTTCCAGATTCGAGTTGTTTGGGGGTTTTATAATGTATAAACATTAGGTAAATTAAACTTTTGTACCGGGCATTGGCAGCGGGGGCTGCAGAGCAGCCCCTGTGAGGAGCAGTCAAGGCTGCCCCGAGCCGGACACAGCTGGTTCCTGCTAGCTCCAACCCACCCCCCGCAGGGCTGAGCCCCACGGCAGACAGGGTGGGAAAAGGATGGGAACCTCAGGGAAAGCAGTGTTTAAGAACAGGTAAAAAGACTGTGTGGTGGTTGAGAGAGATAGGAGTGGAAAAGCAGTGTGAGAAACAGCCCCGCAGACACCAAGGTCGGTGCAGGTGGTGCTGCATGGGAGCAAGCCAAAACCAAACCAAAGTGAAGAAACACAGGCAAAAAAGAAAAGCATCCATTCCCTTTCCCAAAAAAAACCCTCCCAAACAACAAACCCCACCTCAAATACCTCACAACTGTGTGGTTGAGGTTGGCTGTAGCTCATAGGTCATCTCGTAATCCAGCTATAAAAAGGGGCAGGAAATCATAATTATTATTTGTAGTCTTCAGCTGATTGCTGCCTTTGGTCCTTGCAGGTGGAAGACTTTTGAAGGTGAAGTTTCTTATTTGTCCCAGTCATGGCAAAATTTGCATTTTCATTTAAGATTTTGTCGTATATGGGCTTTTCTTTGCAAAGCTGCTCTTTGTATAAAATGCAAAAGTCAATCATGAGGTTTTCTGTGTAGTTTAGTTGGTTGCATCTGTGGTTTAAGCATTTATTTTTGCCACGGGTCAGTCCATTACCAGGCAACACAGTGGTTTACTTGTCTACTTGATTTCTGTGGAGTCGTGGGAGGTATTTTCTTTCTGGATTCAGTTTATTATTTTAATACACTTGTTATTCACCAGTTTTGTGTTACGCTATGGTGTATTTTACCTTCCTTGAGAAGTCTCTCCATATAATTCTTAATCAACTTTTTGGAAAACTTTTAATTAATCTGTTTTAATTACATGGTACTTCCTTTCACTTTATCTCAAACACCTGAGTGATTCAAAATCTGTATTCCAAGTAGAATCTCATCTTGTTCTGAACAGGGTTTAGCCAGATAGAATTACCAGCCTTACTCATCATGAGACATTCACGCATTTGATGCAAGTTGAGAACTTTGTATATGAGTTCAGCTATAGTGTCTAAAAGCCTTTTGATGAAAATTACTGTGAACTTAGCTTCTAAATTATGCTAGTAAGAAAGTTGTGAGCCAGCCTACATGGCTATTAACATTTCAGAGGAAATGGGAAAATTCTTGCATACTTTCTTCATTCGAGTCTTTTGGCTGGCTTCATTCTTCTTGAAAATTACCTGGAAATCTATCTAATACGTAGCCCTTTACATGGGACAGAGTATTTCATTGTAATGCACTATTTCTGTTCCTTATTGAATCTGAAGACATGTAATGCAAACATTTATGGAATTGAAAGTATCTTCAGCACTGTTGAAGTACTGCTACATACTGGAGAAATGCAGATGGTAAGGAACTAGAATAGATTGCCTGAGAGAGTTGTGGAAAGGTCTAAGCAAAAGCCAAGACTGAGGAATGAAGCAAATTGCATTCTTCTTTCTTTTCAGAATTGTGGTGTGATTTGGACTAAGGAAGAAATGAAACCAAATTATCTGTCCTATTTTTGCCTATAAATTGGACTATTCCTTCTAAATAAAGCCAGTTTTACTGCTTTTATTCCTGCATGTCAGTTAATGACTGCTAACCTTTTTGAGGACAAAAGAACAATAAAACAGGTGAATAAGCAAGATTTGATGGAACTGCAGAGTGCTCTGGTTTCTTCAGTACAGGCTAATCGCTAACTCACATCTGTTGTGCACCTTTTGTTTCACGTTACTGGATGTTTTGGAACTCTGTGCTTGATTTCTTGTCTTATGACTCATTTACTGGTTTTATGTTTTTTAATAGGTTGAATCTACACAAAGTATGATTAGGATTTTGGGCCTTTCAGCTACCTTACCCAATTATCTTGATGTTGCTACATTTCTGCACGTCAATCCCTACATTGGACTATTCTACTTCGATGGCCGTTTCCGACCTGTACCACTGGGGCAAACCTTTATAGGAATTAAGACAACCAATAAGGTAAAGAATCATGAAAGCCAAAGAAAGGGTTGCAGTTTGTTCCAGTCGTGCTTCATGTATGTGTGTATAGGAGGCACCTGTTTATTATGCTAGAGGTGTTTTGTGAAGTGCGTTTTCTTCCTTGATGAAGGAGAAATCATCACCCTCTACTGCAGAATCACTGTACCAGCTGATTATTCTGCCTTTCTCATTTCAGTTTTTCATTTGCTAGAAGCAGTGGTGCTTCTTGTTTGGCTGTAAGGGTGCATGAGGAATGTTGAAAGAAAAATACTCACTAATAAAATCTGGAAATATATATGTTAATATACATTAATACTAGTTGGATACAAGTTATTGATTGAAACCTTAGCATGCTAAGCCATTAGTTATCATATGTTCACATTTGATAGAAGACACTTTAAAGTAGTCCCTAAATAAGCTTCTTTACATTTTGTTCTCTTGCTTATTTTTGGAAGCATCAAGGCCATGGTTAGGTATAATATTCTTAAAAATCATAAGTACAGTGCCACTTGACACAAATTATAATTCTTCTTTTAGTACAGGAATTGATGCAAACACTTTTCTCTAAGATTTCTCATGCATCTCACTAGCTGATAATCAAAGGCTGTATAGCTCAGCTTTTAGAAAAATCTTATTCTGCTATGATTTCACTTAATAGAAACCAAAACATTTTCAATCAAAAGTGAATTTCATAGCTTATGTTTTTTGTAAAAATGAATATTGCCTTTTTTACCAGGTTATTTAAGTAGTTCATTCCATCTGCAGTGCAGGAAAGAAACTTACTTTACAACTGTAGGGAGCCATTTCAACACACAATAATAGTTTACCATATGGTGCTTACCATGATTTGCATATTTTAACCTTCATTAATTGTTTCAAGTACCTTCACTTTTTTTTTTGCTGTTGCTTTTCTTTAATCTTTTCCCAATACTTGATTTGAATATTTAGTTCCTTTCCACTGCATGGTAAGAAAAAAGGAAAGACTCCCTTTCTTCATACTCACTTTAGAATGCATTTCTGATTTAAAAATTAAAGAAATATTCAAATTATCCTTTGAAGTTTGAAATTATTTTAAAACCAGTAAGTTTTCTGAGAAAATATGAAGACAGGAGGAAATATTAGGAGGTTGTAGCTGTGCCGAAATCTGAGTACCTGGCAGATAAGGATAACTGCAATGTAATGTTGCCACCAAGACTTTCTCTTTCTGCTTTTCAGAAGAGTATCATTACAGAATTCATAAAGTAAAATACATTTTGCATTCAAGATAGTACACTTAATAGCAAATGAAAAGTAAAAGTATTAAGTCTCTTTTAGAAAGGATTCCATTCAGGATAATACTCAAGGTGCCAAATTATTTGCCAATATCAACATCTTTCAGCTCTAGATGAGAGAAGAAACTCAATGTAAGAACCCATGGAATGAAAAGCAGTTCTTGCTGATATAAAAAGATAGATTTGCTTTTAATGTAATGGAATGACATGATATTTTTCAGGTGCAGCAGCTCAATCATATGGATGAAGTCTGTTATGAAAATGTGCTGAAGCAAATAATGGCTGGACACCAGGTATGTTTTTGTTTTGTTTTGCATTCAGAACACATAAGAAATTAGAGAAATATTAGAACACAAATGAATTAGTGTTGATCAACATAATGATGTCTTAATAAATATTTTGTAATTTTTTACTATTAATATTTTGAACTATGTCACTGCAGAGGTAATCTCTAATCTTGAGCACACTTTTATAGAAACAGCATGGAAAAAATCTCAATTGGCTACATAATGTTAGTTTCAAGCTAAGGTGAAAATTCCTGGTACTGTCTGTGTCCCTTAGATAATTAATATATGTATGTGTCACTTTTTTAAAATGACAAGGCAAAGTAGTTTAGTATCTTAGACACCTTAGATTTAGTTACATTTAATGATTAAAAAAAGGAAAAATTCAGCACATGTTTGTACATCTTAGCCTTTCCTGTATCTTTCAAATTCTAGTGTCTCCTGTTAGAGATGGGGGATGAGAATTATGCAGTGTTCAAGATAATGGTGCACAAGAGCTCATTTCAAATATCCTGGAGTTTGTATTTTGTTTTCAAAGGAAGCAATCCTTCATTTTGCTTACAATTGAGGTTTCTGCAGTGAATTTTCAATTTTGGTACTCCTCTCTGCCAAAATGGTGGATTTACCTTATTTGCCTGAATGGTTTATCATTCTGTTATCACTGTGTTCCTGAATCACCCCCTCAGAATGTCTCATTTTTCTTAGTGATCTGCATGTGCAGCAGTGTGAGCAGCAGTAGTTGTAGCAGGTATTAGCACCTGTTTGAAGCAGGAACAATACTAGTGCATTGTGATCTTTGAAAAGGCTTTTCACTAGTTCACAGATGTATAAAACCCTTTCCCACACAGTCACACTAAGGTTTTCCCTTTTTCACAGAAAATTCAGATAATAGTATATTTTAAAGATGAACAGTTGGTTTATGACTTGTGGGAAAAAAAAATCAGCAACAGCTTCTTAGTCCTCCTCCTCCCCCTGGTTTAACACCATTCTTCCACTTATCTCTTCTTGTTGATATCAGTTAGTGCTGTTGCATTCAGAAAACTTTCATGAAGATTACATACCCAAATGCTGATATTTTCCTCACTGAAGACTGTTAAATTTGTTGGCAGTACCAAGGGGACTTTATTTTCTCCAAATTGTCAATTATGTACATACCTCACTAAATTCTTAACACTGAGGTACCTTCGTTTGCTTCTCTTTCATTTCTTGTTATGATTTCTTGTATTTTCACTTGTTGTAGATAAACCTGGAAGTAGCAAATTCTTTAAATCAGCGTGTCTAAAGAATTCACATCTCTCGGATTCTTGGCAAGAAGTTGCATGCTGTTCCACATTATTTATTTCACTTTTCTTCCCCTCTCTTCACACTGAGGAAAAAACTTATACGAACATATATAAATTTGAAACTTTCAAGTTCAATAACCTGTTTAATTCTAGCAGGAGATGTTTTTTGTAGCTTTTCTAGAGAACAGTTTTAGTTCCTGTACTACGAGATGAATTAATGAGTGTTTTTTTCTATAGCATGAATGAAGACTGAAAGTAGTCAAGTGAAGAACTGTGTTCTGCTTGGAATTACAATTTCAGCTGCTGACATTTATTGGTGTCAAGATCTGAGATTTGTGTTTCAAACCAACAACCGAATAAGGAGTGTATTCAGACAAAGCAGCAGTGTAGTTTCCCTTGCTATAACAAAGTTGATTTGATTTCACAACATTTGGTTAATTAGATTCAATTGATTGTAAAAGTTAAGCATTTCTTTGTTTCAAGGTGTTTGTTCTGCTGTGTTGCAGAACTTTCCTAAATACAGTTCTAAATGCCAACCAGTTACACTGGACTTTTCTTCAAAGTATTTCAAACATATTGATCTTGATACTTATGAAACAAACTCACAAAACCTATGAAACAAGTCCTGAAATGAATGAAACAAAACACTAGCATAGAGTCTTCGACAATGCAGAATCAAGCATTTAAGCTTATCGTATAATACAGTTAATTATAGTGTGTGGGATTGTACCACACACCTTACCAAATTCCTAATACTGAAGTGCAGTTAGTTGCTTATCTTTCATTTCTTGTTAGGATTCTGTGCATTTTTACTTGCTGTAGATACAACTCTCTGACTTTTTAACAAGTATGCTATGACAAATTATCTGTCTAGTTATCAGAGCAACTGCAGATGTTAAAAAAAAAAGTGCAACAAAATATTGAAATGCCTGCCCCATAGATGAAGATTAATATTCTGAGTGAATATGATGAACATTCCTCTAGGAAGGTTTTCTTTAGTGTCTTTTCACAATTTTGAGAATATCTTTTCATTTTCTGAAGTTATAATAATCTTCCAGTTTTCTTAGTTTATAGAAATCTACTACTTTGTGTTCATGTTCACCAACCTCCTACAGTCATGCTTGTGTTATCCTTGAAACTTAAGTTTTATTTACATTCTATGTATGTAGTTTGTTTGCTTTTTAACAAAGCTGTGGTTATTCATAAACATGCTTGTTAGAAAAATACATTCACACCTTCTGCTTAACACTGAAGAAAAAAAAATCCACAGCAGTTGTATGTCTGTATGGAATTCAGGTAATGGTTGGAATTTCCTAACTATTCATGCAGAAAAGTGTGACAAACACAGATCTCATTAGTAGTGCTCCAGAGAGCCAAAAACCTTCCTGTTCTCTTATACTGAAACACAAGAAAGGAATACCAGAATCTGAGAAAAATACTTTCTTTCTTCTAAAGTTCCATGAGTTTGTGTACAGCTTCCTTCTGGCCTTCCAACTTTCACAGTGTTGTCTCTTTTGAGATCCTTTGCCAGAGTCTTTGGAATAAATAACTGAAATTCAGCATTGTTTGCTTATCAACAGCACTGTTAACTCATTTTCAAATAATTCTACCATGCCAGAACTGAACAATTTTACACTTAGGGAAGCCACACTGATGTGTCTCTGTGATATAGATTACAGTGTGATGCTTGAGTGATGTTATATGTTCATGTGTTCTAATAGATGTACATGTGCTTTCATTTTTTTAAACTGAGGCTAGTAGGAGGTAGTTGCATTCTCCAGACATGTGTTTTGACAGATGGAGAGAAGCTTTTTATGTTGATTTTTCAACAGTATCCTCTGCAAGACTTCAGGCTCTTCCTGGCTACTGGGAAATTAAGAGTTGGTGATTCAGCCTTTAATTTTGATGCATCTGCTCAAGCTAATGAGATATCTCATTTGTAGGCTTCACTTTGAATTACCAAATGCATCTGAAGCTGTAACATTTGTTTTACAACTCAATTCTCCTCTTGTTTAACTTGTGAACAGATATAATGATAGGTGGCTTGCCTTATTGAGTTTCCTAGGGGTTTTGTTCCAGAAACTTTTAATCATGACTGAACTGCTAAGATCGGAAAATGTCCCAAAGGTTTCCAGGTGCTTTTTAAGTCAGTGTGATCTTTCTGTAGTATTCCTAACAATGTAGATCTTTATTAGGAGGTTAATCTGTCAGATCCTCTTAAGGCTTGCTTGAAGTGACAACCTCTTGTGTTGTTAAGTTGGTTTTCCTGGGAGTGTCCTTCTTTGCTGGTGAATGTACTATGTTCTTACATTATCTGAAAAGATGTTAGATCCTCTTGGACTGATACACACTTTTAGAGGGTTTTTTCTACCTCTTAGTAAACCAAAGATTCTTTAAATGAAGAAGGAAAAAAAAAAACACCAAAGCACCTGAAGTTACACACTGTTTGTTAGAGAGTAGGACTCCATGCTTAGTTGCAGGTAGTTTTGCTAGCATTTGGTTACTGTTCTGTTGGAGACTGGGTGAAGACTCAGTCACTGAAAATTATAATTCCGTCACAGTGATTACAGCTGTCTCATGTCAGGCAGTCACCTGTGGTGGGCCACTTGCATTCACAGTATTAATTCAGCTACAGAGCAAAGCTTCTTCACATGTTCTCTTTGCCTTTGGTGTTCTTTCAGCACATCTCCTGTATTTACTTGCTGCACCTTACTTTCCTGCATGTTTTTTTTCTGACCTTCAGTTCACTATTAATCTACTTTTCTCCCACAGATACCCAAGTTTTAGTCCTGGTTCATTTGCCCATTTGCCATTCTGGCTGTTTATCACAATTTTCAACTTGTAGTGCCTTTGGCATTCTCCTGTTTTCTGAAATCTCTTCTCCTTTTTAAGACAACGAATGTCTCAGGTATTTCCCACTGCTTTTTAGACTTCTCTCTATAACTCTGAGATGACATATTGCCTGTTTTAACTTTTCTTCCTCTGACTCTGGTACTCAGTGAAACTCCTTGAGGAGTTTCTCACTGAGCTTTCAGTTCACAGTAAAAACTGACTGTTCAGTGGAAGTCTTTCTGTGGTTCTCCATGCCATTGCTGTCTGTGCATTGCTCGTGGTACTTACATACTGAGGAGACATCATGGCTTTCAAAGAAGTATTTTCAATATGCAAAGAAGAGTTTTTCTGATGGCCAAATATGCCAGGTTGTCTATTGCAAAGAATCTGGAGTTTTGAAAAGGTAAATAGCTATTGAAAGCCTCACCACAAAATCCAAAAGGAGATGCTGTAGTAGTATTCCTACCTATTTAGCAACATTGATTGTTCACTTGAGTGCCTGCAGGCTTTAGGAACTATAAACCAGTGGAGATATGGCATATTTTTAGAATTAGCTTGCTGGAAATGTTACTGCTGGGACTAAAAGAGGAAAAACACTTAAAACGATGAACAGTCTTAGAAAAACCAATGATGCACAGAGTGGTGATTTCAGACTGTGCATTCTGTGCTTATTTCAATTCAGTTTTCCTAAAAGCCTTTTGAAGAAAAGTGATTTTTTGGGTAATAGATTCTGAGCTTATACTCTTCTGATTTGAACTAGTTTCTTCAGTTTAGCTGGCTTCTTCTGTCTTACCATTTTGCTTTTGCGGTATTGCCTCAGCTGCATTTGACACACCTATGCTTTACTTTTTTATCTTTGAAAATGAGATATGGATTTCTTTTAATATACAGAAT